AGGACCTGAAGTGCTTGCTGAAGAAGGTCAAGGACTGCAGCCTTCAATATGAACTGAAACTCAACATCAAGAAAACAAAGATTCTCACCACTGAACCGATTTGCTGCTTCGTGATAGATGGTGAAGAGACTGAGACTGTTAACAGCTTCAGTTTGCTTGGCTCTACAATCAACATTCTTGGTATCAGAAGCCAAGAAATTAAAAGACGACTTGCATTGGGAAAGTCTGCTGTCAGAGACCTCTTCAAAGTACTAAAGAGCAACGATGTCAGTCTGGAGACTAAAATGCGCCTGATAGAGGCCATGGTCTTTGCAATTACTTGCTATGCATCAGAAAGCTGAGCAATGACTAGGGATGACAGAAGGAGAATTTATGCCTTTGAGCTGTAGTGCAAGAGAGGAAGACCTTGGATGAGATGGATTGATTCAGTGACTGGGGTCATGGGGATAGGTGTGTCAGAGACAATAAGATTGAAACAGGATAGAGGAGGGTTTAGGGCTGTTGTACATAGGGTCACAGGTGACTTGATGGCACATAACAGCAACAACAAAAACAACAACAATGGTGTCTATATAAAGAGCCCTAGGGGTATCGTGTGTTAAATGTTAAGTTGTTTTGTTGTTACGTGCCTTTGAGGTAAGTATGACCCATAGCAACCCTATCAACAACATATCTGAAATCCCCGTCCTGTCCTTTGCCATTCTCATACTTCCTGAGACATAAGGGGCTATTGCAGTACTTGTCTGTCGCTTTGCTGTACTGAGTAACTTGTGGGTTGCTGTGATACTGAAAGCTATGCCACTGGTTTTACCCAAGCCACAATGTCAAATGCCACAAATGTTCACTCATGGTGGGCAGGTTTTAGTAGAGCTCTCTGATTAAGACAGACTAGAAAGCAGAATTGACCATCCACTTCTTAAATTACAGGCCTTTGAAAACTGAAAGGTAGAGGAACGTGGAAATGTAAGTTAGATGGTTCAAAACCATCACATGTTCCACAAGAGAAAGATGGTCAGTCTTCTTACATAAAGATTTATAGCCTTGGCACCATGGAAGGTCACCATTAGTTGAATTGACTCCATGACAGTGGGTTTGGGGTTTTTTGTTCTATGGTGGCAATACAGAAGTGTGTGGGCAGACTGTTCCAAATACCAGAGTTTAAAATGTGAAGAGCCCAGGAGTAGTTAGGTTCATCTGTAGATAGATGTAACGCGCCATCAGGGGGTGCTTTCCTCCTCTTTGGCTACTGCAGAGGGCAGGATGGTTCAGACACAGCTTGCAAGACATTCCTACTTACAGCCACCAAGAGAGAGATTCCATTCCCTGAGGTGATGGCTTAGTGGTAAAGAATTACATTATCAGTTCAAAGACACACAGTTCGAATCCACCCACTGCTCTGTGTGACAGAGACAAGTAGTCTCCTTCTGTGTAACTTAATGCCTTTGAAAACCTGCTGGAGGGTCAGTTGTGGGTTGGTTTCAAGTTGATGGTGCACAGCAAAAACTTTAGAGATGAGACAGCTGAGAAGTGGAGAGAGAAACTATTTTGCCCAAGGCCACACAAGTCCTGTAGTGGTGGGACTGGGGACAAACCCATTCCTTCATCAATGGTGTTTAAACCAGTGCTACTGGCCTTTTCCTAGGCCTTTTCCTCTCTCCACGTGACCCAAAAGGCACTGGGCTGTTGGTTCTTCCCCCCCATCTCCACTTTAAGAATTTATTTATCTTTATTGTGATTTGATTGAAAGTTAACAAAGCATGTTGGTCCTTCATTCAGTCATTCATACACATTTGGTTTTTTAATATTAAGTACAGTATTCATGATGTAATCACTTCCTCCCTGTAATTTTGCGATTGCCATGAATCCTTCTATCCCACCTCTTCCTGCCTTTGGTTCTTCATCCTTGGGCAAAAGCGGCTCTTTCATCCTTAGATGGTTGATTATTCTAAGAGGTCAGTAAGGTCTTGAGTTTTACACAATAAACACTTCATGCATCCCACCTAAGGGTAATCTGGTTTAGTCACCACCTAGAGATTGGAAAACTCAAGATGACTTGCCATCATCTCCTAATAGACCCTTCCTGGTAGTGTTTGAGGGAGGACATAAAGGTTCCTGTTGAGTGACCCTAGCACTCTCTGCTGGCCTAAATTATCTACTACACTGTCCAGGCTGGGAGAAGTTTCTTAGCAGCTCTGAGGAGCAGTTAAAGAGGCAAGGGCACACTGTGGCCTAATCTGTGGTGAACCGTGTGCTCCCAACCCAAAGACTGAGCCTCTCTGGTGATTTTAACCCATCAGCGGCTACTTGGGAGAAAGCTGGATAATCTCTTCTTAGACAACGTACAGCTTTGGCTACTCAGTGGAGGGTCAGCTCTGAGCTGGTTCCACTCAGTGGGAACGAATTCTTTCTTTTAATAAATGAGACAAAGGGGAGCAGGAGGAAGAGTAGAAGGGCAGTGGTGGTACAATTACATTAAGAGTTTAACTGGTGAATTCAAGGGTGACAAGATAAAATTCTCCCCAAAGATGTACGAGATACTCTAGATAAAGCCACCTAGAATGATGCTTGCCATACTTTTTGATACAGAAACACACACACACACACACACACACACACACACACACACACTGTTTTATTGTTGCTACACACCGTAGTTGTTGTTTTTGTTTTGTACTGTTGAGTCAGAGCCAACCCACAGCTGAACGAACCTCCAGAGGATTTTCAGAGGCAGTTAATTACGTGGGAGGGCACATTGCAAGGAAAGACCAGTCCTTGGAGAGGGATGTCATGCTTGGGAGGGTGGAAAGACAGCACAGGAAAGGAAGACCCTCAATGAGAAGGATTGATTTAGTGATGGAGTAATAGGGGTAGGTGTGTCGGAGACAGTGAGTTTGGCACAAGATGGAGAAGGCTTTAAGACTGTTGTGCTTGGGTGGCTATGAGTCGCAGAAATATGGATTGAGGCTCAATGTCAAGAAGACAAAGATTCTTACCACTGGACCAATTGGCAGCATCAGGATGGATGGTGAAGAGATTGAGATGTTCACAGCTTTAGTTTGCTTGGCTCCACGGTCAACACTCTTGGCACCAGCAGCCAGGAGATTAAAAGACGTATTGCGATGGGAAACTCTGCTGTTAGGGACCTCTCCAAAGTACTAAAGAGCAATGGTGTCTCCCTGGAGACTAAGGTGCATCTGATACAGGCTATGTTCTTTGCAATCACTTGTTATGCATCAGAGAGTTGGACAATGACTAGGGAGGATAGAAGGAGAATTAATGCCTTTGAGCTGTGGCGCTGGAGAAGAGTATTGAGGGTACCATGGACTGCTAGGAAAACAAACAGATTCATCCTGGAGAAGTTTAATTTGGGCAGCTCCTTGGAGGCAAGGATTCTGAGGCTCTGTCTAACATACTTCGGACATGTTGTAAGTGGGGACCGGTCCTTGGAGAGGGACATCATGCGTGGGAGGGTGGAGGGATGGCGCAAGAGGGGAAGACCCTCTATGAGGTGGATTGATTCAGTGACTGGGGTAATCGGGATGGGTGTGTCAGAGACAGTTCGATTGGCACAGGACAGAGCAGAGTTTAGGGCTGTTGTACATAGGGTCGCTATGAGTTGCAAGAGACTCCATGACACATAACAACAACAACAACAATGATTTTATTTTATGTTGTTTTACATACAGAATTAGTACGCATTGTTTGTCATTCATGTACATTGTATTTCACGCATTCCTTCATTCACATTGTGCTTTATACAACTCTTCATAGACATTGTTTTATAAAATGAATCACCATTGATCGGCGCCTATTTTTACCCCATCTTTTTAGGTCCCCATTGGATTCTTCCTAATTCCTTCACTCCCTCCCTCTGCCACCAAACTCTGTCATTCTACTGATTCCTTCTTCCTCTCCCCACACTCAAACTGGATTCCATTTGGGCCTTGAAGATCAAACTATAATATTGGTGAAGTTTCTGTCCACTCAGGGATGCTAGGGGTTCAATTGTACACTCCCAATTTGCTTTAGAAAATAGGTCTGATAAACCAGTGATCAATGAGGTGTAAATGATGGCTAGCAACTTAGGGCAACAGTTCACAGGGTGGGTTTTTGAGGAACTTTAGGTATTACAGTTCATTGGTTAAAAAAAAGTGCTAAGGTTAAATGTGTTTTTGAAACATCGCATACCACATTCCCCTCCTAGGATTCACCGTCCATGACATGTACTAAAGACAGAGAAGTTATGTTGTACTGCAATTGCTATAATTCAGTTTAAACCAGCATTCCACAGACTTTATTGACCATGAATCCTTTCTTGACCCCTCAAGAAATTCAGGAATAGCATATTACTCTCCCCTTCACATATCCATGTCTATAGCTGTGGAAGAATATATTGTTTTTAGATAAGTTGAATCACCTCTGACTTGCGGCAACCTTATGTATAACAGGATGAACTATTGCCTGACCTGGCACCATCTTTGTGACCATTGATAGAAAGTCCAGTATTGCAGCCATTGTATCAATCCATGGTTGACACACAGCTTTAGCAAACATGATATCAAATCATTAGGAAAGGTCATCCTGTGGGATAAATATGTTGTTGTTGGGTGCCATGGAGTTGACTAAGACTCAGTGACCATATGAACCACAGATTGAAATTTTGCCATGTCCTACATCACTTTCACAATCTCCACCATTACCAAGCCTATGATGGTAATCATTGTGTCAATCCATCTCATTGAGGGTCTTCTTCCCTTTTGCCAACCCTCTAATTGTGGAATTAGAAACTCCAATGGTGTTATTTCAACCAAAGAGAAAGAGGGTTGGTCAATCACGAGCCCCTGAAAATTGTAGGCATGGATGCACCCACCCACCAAGTCATGAGATTTCTCCTAGACCTTCCGCAGCTGCCTTCCTGGGCTTGTAGCTCAGACACTGGACATAAACCTTAGGCAGCTGGCATCTCCCCTTCCTAACTCAGACTCTCTTTTCCTTTCTAGGCAGACATATTCTCTGGTGCCATATTCATCAATATGGCTTTGGGCTTGGATCTATACCTGGCTATCTTTCTCTTATTGCTGATCACTGCTATTTATACTATCACAGGTAAGTTCAATTTAATGGATCCTGCTATGTGGGTCCAGCTCAGGCTTGGAAATTGTATAAGATAAAAGAATGAAGATGACATGAATTTTCCTCAAGGAGGAGAGATATACAGCCAAGAGACATTTGAGAGTGAAATATTTGCTTGACTGAGGGAAGCCGAATATCAAATTTAATAATAGTAGACCAAATGTTGTATCGGGAAATGAGGGGGGCTTAATACAAGCTGAAGGTCACCTTGTGACACTGGGGCATTTCTTAGGAGGTCAACTTGTGACACTGGGGCATTCCTTAGGAGTCAACATTGTTTTTAGGTTTTATCAAATGAATCCCTCCCTCTTGAGATTAACATAAAGAGGAACTTGGCCTTATCTGTAAAAGATTTCACCATTATCCTTTGTTTTGTACTTCCTTGTGATTCTATATAAATACTCAGAGAAGCATGGCTCGAGGTCTTCAGTCAAGAACTGCTGACCCCCTGTTTTACGCTCTCTGCTCTATCTCATTCCTGGTTGGTTGTCTCTTTATTATAAAATTATTCTATTCTTTGGGACCCTCAGTCTGCAACACTTGACCCCAACTCACAGACCCCACAAATTGTATGAATGGTGCCAGAAAACTTCCATGTCATTCATTCAGGTTTCTTACATCAGGTAGGGGAGGGCATGTCAAGAAGTGCCGGATTCAAGGAATAGCATAAATGGAGGAAAGGGGCGGGGGGTAGAATGAGTATGGAATGAGGCACATAGTAGGGTGAGAAAGCAGGTCAACTTAACTGCAGGAGGATGGTCACAGGGAGGAAGTGGAGGTGGGATGATAAGAGTTGATATTTCAGATGAGATCATATGATAATCACTTTAGACCCCCCAGTGGTGCAGTAATCAAGCTTTCATCTGTTAACTGAAAGGTTGGCAGTTACTGAGCTGCCCCATGGGAGAAAGATGTGATAGTCTGTTTCTATAAAGACACACATCTTTGGAAACCCTACAGGGCAGCTGTCTAATAGGATTGCTTTGAGTCAGAACTGACTCAATGGCAATGAGTTTACCTTGAACGATAGACCCCTTGGAAAGCAGACAAAGGCTGTGGGGTTAAGACAGGACAGGGAATAATAGGAGCTACTGTGGGGAAGGAGGAGAGGAGAAAATTATATGCAGAAAGAGATTTTAGAAGAAGACTCAAAAGGTGACCAAAGGAAGTGACAAAATAAGTAAGCAGAAACAATAACAACAGTTCATCTGGGACATCTTTGTAAGAGTGCTACTTTCTTCTACCCTGTTAGGGAGCGTGGTCAGCCATGGACCTTGCTATTCAGCTAGAGCCCCATTTCTGTGTTCCTCTTCTCATTGACAGAAGTTCTTAGATGACCTGAAGTAGCCCTTTGAAAGATACCAATCAACTCTTCCTTGCCCTTATTTGTAGAAAAATTCTTCTCACCATGGAACAACACCTACCTCCTTTAAGCCATCTCTTGTTTTAAGAGTCACCTCATTCAAACAGCTGAACAACACTACTATGTTGTTGTTAGTTGTCATTGAGCTGATTCTGCCCCTTGATGACCCTGATGTCTGTAGAGTACATCTGCTCAGTAGTGTTGGCTACGACCCTTCAGAAGCAGATCACCACACCTGTCTGCTGAGGAGTCTCTGGGTGGATTCAAACAGCTAATCTTTTGGTTAATAGTCAAGTTCTTAACAATTTGTGCCACTCAGAGTCTTCTAGAGCTACTATAACCAAAGAGACTCCCTCACCGCTGTTGATTCTAATTCACCTTGACCATATTGGACAGAGTAGAACTGGCTCACAGAGTTCCTGGGGCTGAAGCAGCTGCTGGATTTGACCCACTAATCTTTTGTCTCACAGCCCTACATTTAACCAATTGCACCATCATTTCTCCTAGAACTGTGATATGATCCATCAATATAACTCTTAGGTATCCATTTATGTATACACTATATGACTAGATATACACCTAGATATATTCTGTACAAAGAAAACTCTTGTGGCCTAATGGGAAAGAAGTTATGCTGCCAACCCAAAGGCAGGTGGTTTGAGCCCACCAGCTGCTCCAAGGGATAAAAATGGACAATCTCCTCCCATGTAATTTATAACCTTCAAAAACCCACTGGAGGGTCAGCGATGAGTCAGTTCCAATTTGATGGCACATAACAACAACAATGACAACATACTACATGATTCCTAGGTATGAACTTCCACAGACTTGAAAGCAGAGACACAGACAGATACTTGTATACTGCTGTTTGGGGAAGCATTATTCACAATAGCCAAAAGATGGCAAAAACCCAAGTGTCTATCAATAGATGAGGAGAAGAAGAAATGTGGTTTAAATATACGAGGAAATAGCATTCACCCACAGAGAGAAATGACGTTTTGATACATCTGTGACATGAATCATCTTTGAAAACATAATGCCAAGTGAAAGAAAGACTTTATTGTCTTACTCATATACCTAAAACAGGACAATGCATAGAGACCAAAGATTACCAGTGGTCTCTAGAGGTGGAATGGAAAGAGAAATGGGGAGCTAGTGTTTAGCAAACTTTGAATTTCTATTAAAGGCATGAGACATTTAGAAAAGGGTGGTGGTGGTGATGATGACTTCAGTTTGGGAAGTATAATTAATGTCAGTGAGTTTTACATATAACATGGTTGAAATTACAAATGCTTTGGTCGCTATGAGTCGCAGGCGACTCGACGGCACATAACAACAACAACAACAACAACAACATTGTTGTATATATTTACCATAATTAAAAAAATTAAATGAACAAATGGGTCACCTAGGCTCTTCTCCATCAAATTGAGAGATCCAGTCTCCTTTTCCCAAGACCTCCCAACATTATTGGTGAAAAGTGACATTGAATGACAAAGCCCTGTAACTTAGTCAAGGAGGGATGCCTGAGGGTGGCTACGGGAGTGTGCTCAGAAGGTATGTGGAGGTAGAAGTCCCGAGGATGGGGAGAGGAAGCAGGAAGATGGGTTACCTTCAATGCTGGGGCAGATGACTTCATTGTCTTCTCTTCTCCTTAGGGGGCCTGGCAGCTGTGATTTACACTGACACCTTGCAGACGGCAATTATGTTGGTGGGGTCTATTATCCTGACTGGTTTTGGTAAGTGAGGCTGGAGCAGGTTGAGGAGGTGGAGTTAGAAAAAGTAAGCAAGCAAAAGCCCAAACAAGCATTTACCTTAGAGTCCATGCACAGTAGAACATGGACTACACTGGGTTTTCAATGGCTAATCTGTTGTTCAATTGCACTGGGGAAAGCCTGCTGTCAGAGACCTCTCCTAAGTACTGAAGAGCAACGATGTATAGAGACTAGGGTGCGCCTGATACAAGCCATAGTCTTTGCAATTACTTGCTGTGCATCAGAAAGCTGGACAATAACTAGGGGTGATAGAAGGAGAATTGATGCCTTTGAGCTGTGGTGCTGGAGAAGAGTATTGAATATACTATGGACTGCTAGGAGAACAAACAAGTTTGTCCTGGAGAGGGTGAAGCCAATCTCTTCCTTGGAGGCAAGGATTTTGATGCTTTATCTGACACACTTTGGACATATTGCAAGGCAGGATCAGTCCTTGGAGAGGGACATCATGCTTGGGAGGACGGAGGGACAGTACAAGAGAGGAAGATCCTCGATGAGATGCATTGATTCAGTGACTAGAGCAATGAGAGTAGGTATGTCAAAGACAATGAGATTGGTACCGGATAAAGCAGGGTTTAGGGCTATTGTGAGTCACAGGTGACTTGATGGCACATAACAATGATAACTGTTGTTCAAAATGTCACCACGAGTCGTAGTTGACTCAATGACACCTAATAACAATTGTTCTGAAGTAGACCATCATACCTCTCTTCTTTTTTTATAATGAAAATGTTTTATTTAATAAAAAACCAAAGTAAGAATACCTGAACAATGGAATTATTGTATTATTCAATGGGATTATTGAAACACAAAAATCAAAAGTAGAAGAAGTATAAGGATCTAAGGCGGGTAGGGGGAGGGTGGAAGCAGAGGGATGAGGATGTGCAGGGGGAGGGGAAATTTATCGTGGAGTTGTGCAATTTGATGGGTTGAAAGATGAGGGAAATTGGAAGAATGTGTTTTGGAAAACAATATTTGAATTTTGTAAATAAAATAGTATAATAAAAAAATGTGCTAAGTTCTTAATACTATTCCATCTTAAACTGTAGAACTATATTTGATTTCATACTTTTAACACAGTCCATGAGTCAGTATTAACTTGAGAATAACTAACAATAATAGCATTCTCATAAATACTTCTCGGGCCAGACAATCTAATTCTAAATCAAAGCATCTAGTTGGTGATTTTAGTTGAGATTTCTACCTAATGCTCTGAGTTACATCGATTAGGATACAAACTATTGTTATTATTGTTAGTTATTCTTAGACCTCTCTTCTGAGGCAGGTGGATTTGAAAAGCCAACTTTCTATTAGGAGCTAGGCATGTTGACCATTTGTACCACACAACCCAGGGGCCCTCAGGGAGATGATGCAGAGGTAGAGAGAACAAGTCCAATAATGTCACTCGCTGCCGATCTGACCAGTCAATTCAGATGCCTCCTGCCTTCTAAAGAGGAGCATGGAGAGGGACTTTGATGTTTACAGGGTTCCCACCTCACCTTTAGACGCTTCAGGCTGAATTATTTCCTCAGTGTTGGGCTAAGATGACATAGTCTTCTATCCATCTCCAAACTGGTTAAAAAAATTAAAGCAGAGTGTAGTGAGTTTTCCATATATTCCAATACTTTTCATCTCAGATTATGTCTTGTCTACACTTTTAGGTTAAATGGCCTTTATTAATTTATGAGACTAGGAGAGAGGTGTTTTTTGTTTTTTTTTAAATAATTGTTGTTGTTGTATAACATTGAGTTGAAACTAACCCATAGCTTACTCTAGAGTGAGTTTTCAGAAGCAATTTAATCACACAAGAGGAGACTTGCCACCTTTCCCCACAGATCAGATGGTGGATTTGAACCACATGCCTTTGAGATGGCACTGCAGCTTTTTTTTTTTTTTAATTTAGGTTGTTTATTTTTCATTTCAATGAACATCTACAGAGAT